ACTACTACTACTACTACAACTACTAGACCACTGTTGGTGTTGATTTTGGTGTTGGTGAGCTTTATAATAAGGGTTGATCCCACCCCGAGGGTTGACTCTGATTGGGAACGACAAATGAGTGACAATGTGTGGTACCTTTTCACGAATTGGATGCACGCACTGCTTAAAAACTTGAGCCGGAATTCGTTGGCATGAAAACGTAAGTATGTTGGCCATCCTTGACAAGTAAGGATTGCTTTTGCCTTGGAGGCATTGCTGTGTGCTCGTTTGTATATTTGTTTTAGCATTCTGTTTCTCCTGCCCGCGCCGAGTCTGAAGTTGCCGGACAAGACCCTGTCGAGCTGTCATAGGCGTCCCAGGTGTGTGACAACAAAACTAGTACTACCCCGACTACTACGACGACGATGACTAGTACCACTACCACTACCACCACGACGACGACTACTACTACTGCTGCTACTGCTACTGTTACTGTTGCTACTACTACTACTACTACTACTACTACTACTACCCTACTACTACTGCCACCACACCACCATTGCCACTACCGCTAACGCTGCCACGACGTCGACGACAACGACGACGACGACTAGTACCCCACCACCACCACCACTACCACCACTACCACCACTACCACCACCACCACCACCACCACCACGACCACCACGACCACCACGACCGCCACGACCACCAAGACCACCAAGACCACCAAGACCACCAAGACCACCACCACCACCACCACGACCAGCACTACGATGGCCACCACCACCACGACCACCACCACCACGACCAGCACTACGACGGCCACCACCACCGCCGCCGCCACCACAGCACAACTGCTACTTTTACAGCTGCTTCGTCTGCTCTTGACGACGACCCGGCTTCTTCTTCCTTCTGCTACAATCCTCGACCGTGTACAGCCGCGAAAGTCTCCGAGCAATGGGACGTCGAATTTCGCGTGCATTGGTGGAGACAGTTCAGTTTTCAGAGGGTTTGAGGCTTAAGGGCTACTTGGCATGCCGACACCGTGTCGGAGGCGGGTGGAAGCTGACGGTTTCTTCCACGCAGGCCAAAATCATGATAACGCTGTGACAGAAGCAGTCTGCTCTGGGTGCGTGTGATGTGACAGCTTTCACTTTCGGCTGGTGCCGTTGTTTCCATTCTCTGGTTTTCTGAATTGACATGATCTGGTGTTGCTCCGGTGCAGATGCAAGCAGGTGAAAGGTTGTACTTGTTTTCATCGATGTCAGGTATTCATGATCGCCGCCGCCTCTTGGATGAGCGGCGTCTTCATCGGATGGAATTTGAGAAAGATGCTCGTGAAATGAAGCCAGCTCCGAGAGCACATGCTTTGACAAACTCCCTTTACAGTCAGCTGCCAGTACAGATGGCATCAAGGGGTGGAGGGGCATGACCCACAAAAAACAAGCCAAGCTGCAAGTCAGTAGAGATCACATCGGGCAACAGTTCTTGCGAACAGCTGTTTCGACCCTCCAGTTTCCCAGCTGCCGTGCAGTGTTGCAAAGAGTGCCTGAATCAATGTGTCACCGTGTCTTCAATGTGTTTCACTGCTTAGGGCCTCGCCCAGTCCGACGGTCCGAATCTCACTGCCCAGGCTTCAACATGTAAGCTTATCGTATGGTCTGTCCTAGTCTTCGTTCAGTGACAACGACATATCACAACCTGCCCATTCGCGAGCTTGGACATGTTGAGTTCCATTCTCAACCGAAGCGGAGCAGGAGCGGGAAGCGCTCCTTCAGACACAAACCTCCGACTGGCTGCAGCCTGCTTGTGGGGCCTGACAGTGCGAAGTGCTGAGTGCTGATGGGCACCTGGTGCAGCTGGAAGGCGCTTTTGGCAGGATGCATCACCTGCCACAAGGTGGCAGGTGCTAGGTTCACGCTACACCGACTAGATCGACGAGGTGTAGGGTTTTCGGCACCTGAGCAGCTTGGCTGGCAAGTGCCCTCCGTCCACAGGTCCTGGCGTACAGGGAAAAAGTCCGAGCGGCAGGGGGTAACAGTGACAAATGCACTCACAGAACCTCACACAGAGCTGAGCTTCCTTGCTCGACGAGAAACCGCTGCATTGGTGAACTTGTCTCAAGCGGGATGCCAGTCAGAGAACCGCAGCGTCGAGAGCTGCTGGTGCCTAGGTTTGCTACGAGTTCTGGTACACTGCTCAAGGCCAGATAAGATATGCTTGCATCTCAGATGGCCTTATCACTTCCATGTCTGGACTGTGGCACCAGTCAGCTGGTGCATGTATTATTGCGGTGCCTGAGGACGACCCGATTGAGCTTCAAAGCCCGAAGGCTTTCCGCTCTTCTGTGTGCCCCGAGCGAGTCAGAACTGGTCGCACCCCTCAACTCAGGCTGATGAAGAGACCCTGCACCTCAACGTGAACCAGGTGGACGAAGACTGGATGTTCGCGGCTGAGAAGGTACCATTAGCAAGACCTGCCGAGGAAAAGCAGGTCTGTAGCCGGATGCCATCTGATGGACTAAATCTTTAAGAGCAGCGGAGATTGTGATAGTTATGATGACGAGGGTGCGACAAAATATCATCCCACGACACGGACTGCCTTTGCCGGAGACCACTCGTCGGCCATTCCGCACACAGCCAAGACGTGCAAACTTTAGGTCCAGTGTTAAACAAGACTTGTCTCGAGGATCGTGTGCACCGGGTCACCGGGAGCAACGTGCCAAAAAGTATGGAGACCCACACCACAACACAAGGGACGACTTACCTGCAACCTGTTGGGGCCAGAGCGGGTCCGACTGACCTTGTGTGAGTGGTGTGCTGCTGTAGGGTTGCCTGTGACGCCAAGGTACGGTCGGCTAGTGACGACAAGCAGTTTCTCCATGAAGTCGCATACTCAGAGCTTCCCTCAAGCCTGCCCACTGCAAGCAGATCCTTGGCTGGATGCGATTTGCCGGTGATTGGAAGGCGAGCCTTCCGTGGCCTTCCGCTTTCAATGCTAAGGCTCTGTGAGGTTCTTGCGCGCTCCGGGTGCACTGCGCCGGGGGCTTGAGATCATTTTGCAAAAGAAGGTGCTGTCAGCGGAGTAGTCCTGCCAAGTATGTGGCTGGCAGGCAAGTGCTCGCCTTAGCGCCGAAGACTTCAACCTCAGGTTCTACAACATTGCAATGCTGAATTTGCTATCCGAGATTGTTTCAACAAAGGCAGGCTTTGGCGCATGCGTCCTACCACGCGCCTGCTCGAACTTCCACCTGTGCCCAATTGTCCATGCTGACAGGAGTTGGCGAGCCGCTTCGACTCCTATATCCTCTGCCTTTTCCTTATCTCGCGGTGTCTTTGGGCTGAAGCCTTAGCTGCCAACCGCTGGACAGGATGCGAGTGTCTCTGGCAGCCACGATGATGTCCAAGAGAAGCACAGAACGAAAGCATCCAGGTATACATTGCTCATCGGCGTGCCCAAAGGGCCCTTATCCTGGACTGGCACGACAAGGCTGCTGGTTGCTGCGGTTTCGGTGTTTCGCAATCTCCGTCACAAACCGAAGCCTTAAACAAAAACACTGGAAGGGCGAGTATGTGACCAATGCCTTTGACTCAGCAATCTCCTGATGTGACTTTCTGTGTGCGTCCTGGTCTCCAAAAAAGGCGTCCAAAGCGTGAGGGAACAGGGATTGTTTGGCCAGGTTGGCTTCTTTGGCAGGCAGCGATGCCACGACTACATCGCTTGTGGTCATGCATCTGCATCAGACCTTTCCATCCGAAGAGCCGAAGGGTCCGGCCTTTGTGTACTGCATCTATGCAGGTTGGAGCTGATGTTTAGCATCACAGTGGTGGAAATGTTCTTGATCCCGAGGAGCCCGGAGCATGTGCAGATACCTGCTGGGACATGGGGGCATGCCGCATTGTGTGGGTTTTGGAGGATAGTCCGAGACATCGTGTCCCTGCTTCATCCCGACAAGCCCGGGGCTTTCTTCGGCCTGCAAAAGTCAAGCTCTTCGTGGACGCGTGCCATGTAAATCTGCCCGAAGCGCTTGCAAGGCGGTGCCATCCATTCGCTGCCTTTGGCGGAAAGCTGCACATGACCTGGCTGAGTACGGGGTGTGTGCACGCTCCCTCGGGTGCAGACGATATTTTCAAAGGTATGGTCCTCGTTCCTTCATTCTGGGCTTCCCAACGAAGGACTTCACAAAGACGATGAAATGCGTTGCCTTCGCATCACATGCTGTGGACTCGCAGTGGCTCCTCCCGCCACGGTCCAGGACATGTACATCACAGAGAGCCTTCATGGCATAGTGCCTTGTGCCTGGTCGAGTCAGAGAGACTGGGGTGTGCCAGAGCTGAGCAGACTGCCAAGGTCTCAAGTGCCGGTTCTGGTGGCAGCCCTGTCCTTATTTCCGCTTGTTTGCTTTGTTTTGGCCTGAGTGGCGATTTGTTGTAGTCGGCCACTCATTTTCACCTTGGCCGGTTTCTGCGACTCCCGCAAGGATGTCATCATCACCGTCAGCCTGTGCACTTTCCCCAGCTGGCATTATGATAGTATTCTTGGTGTATTGCAGTTCAAAGACGGGCACACATGCGAGGCTCACAGCTCGTATCTCTTCCAATGTGTTCCGAGGTTGGACGCTGCGCGCCAAGATAGGCCTTTGCAGCGTCATGGGCATTAGTGTGGCGGAACATGGTTCTCGGACCGCTCTTTCAGTGGGCTGTAAAAACGGTGAGTTAGGTCAGATTTGGTCAGGGTGGGCTAGGTTGGAGCTGCTAGCTGAGGTTCCTTAGGTCAAGTTAGGTGGTGGATGAAAATGAGGTTGGGATATGGGTTTGTCAGGCCAGGGTGGGGCTAGGTTGGGGATTGCGGCTAGTTCACGGGGCTAAGGTGGCTTAATTCACGTCAGTTTCGGGTTGGTTTATTTTTGGATTGTGCTCAGTCTGGTCCGGTTCGGTTAGGTTAGGTTGTGCTAGGGTGGTTGGGTCCGGGTACTCGTAGGTCGTTAGGTTGAGTAGGCGGCGGGTTTGGGGTATGTCTGGCTGGGTTGCTAGAATCAGTGCAGGGCAGGTTGGTGTGGTTTGGGCTGGGGATAGGGTCGGTTAGCTTGGCTTCGCTTGTTTCACTGTTGGATTGCATGCGATTTGGTTCGGTTTTGTTGGGTTGGGGAAGGTAGGGTCAGGATCCTGGCGGCGATGTGCGGGCAGGGCTTGGGAAACTGAGTCCTTCTATGAAACTGTAAAGCTATCGACCTAGGAAACTGATGTTGGGTTAGGTTGGGGTAGGTTGCTTAGATTGGTGCGTTTTACTGAGGTTAGGTTAGGGTAAGGAAGCGTAGATGAGTGCCGGTTCGCGTTAGGTTGGGTTAGGTCACATAAGGTTGCATTCGGTTGGGTTAGGTTGCTAACGTGCAGGCTGGCTAACTAAATAGGTTGGTGGGTGGGTGGGTGAAGGAACTTGAATCTGTCGTAGGTTGGGCTAGGCTAGGTCGGGGTTAGGCTCGGGAGGGTTGGGTAAAGCTGGGTTGGGTAGGGGTGGGGTTGGGTGGTTGGGCTAGGGTAGCTCAGGGTCGGGGTTAAGTTGGGTTAGGTTGGGTCTCCTTGGCCTTAGGGGCCATGTCCCTCTTCAACAATATTCCCTCAAGGTGAGAATTTCTTTGGTCTGACTCCGACATTGGGCTGTGTCTGCATGGAGTGGCAGGGTTACATAGCTACATCAGTGCAATTGGCTGCCATTCGGACAGGGCGACTGATTCCACGCATCTCCGTGCCAGCACATATCGCGTGCAGGCCTCTTCTACTTCTTCATTCCCGAAGACCGGGAACATTGGTGGGAAGCTGACAAGCACAAGCGTTGTTTTTGTGAAAGCTCGTATGACTTGCTGTGTTTGCGAACGCTTTTGTTCGTCGTAGGTTGTGGTGCCGATGCATGACGTGGCTCGTGCTGGTTCTCACAGTTCTGAACTTTGTCTTGAAGGCGAGGGGAAATTTGGTAAGCAAGCATGCAAGCGCAGCGCAGACCCACCGCTCACCATGTCCTTCAGGGTACGATGATAGAGTGTGCCGCGTCCGATTGGGAGGTGACTTTGTTTCGGCGATATTTGTGGGCTCGCAGACGCTATCGGCCTGTTGCCCAAGACGAGCAAATTCTGCATTTGCGCTCCAAGAGAGACGCTGTCCACCGAGGGCCTGGCTCAAAGTGAAGCTGAACGACGCAAGTCAGCCCGATGCGTGCAGGTGCGTGGCATAGCGAGTCAGAACTTAGCTTCAATCAACGAGTCGTTTTCTGCACGGGACTGATTCGTGTCAGTTATTTGCTTCCTAGCAGTTCGCAGATGTTTCGCAGTGCACGGCTCCACTGCTTAACGGCTGAGACGTTTCGAGAGTCCTGTCAGGCGCGCGCTGAGAAAGGAGTGGCGTGCTTATTTCGGTGAGCTAAGCCAGGCCAGCCGTTCGAGGAGGTTTTGCGTGAAGCTTGAGGATATTTCAGGGTTGAGACAGTCTGGAGGACCTTGTGCCCACAACCAAAACACAGAAGCATGTGCCAGCTGAATGACACCCTGTGGAGTGCCTGCATCCGTGCCAGACGCTCGTGCACGAGCCACTGAGCCCCTGACGCGCTGGTGAGAGCTGACCCCTGACGCGCTGGTGAGAGCTGATGCTGCCGTGGTAAAGCAAAGTTCCGTAGTGACATTTTGCAACAATGTACTGGTATTCCAGCACTGGTGTCGGGATACGACAGCAGCGGCGCAGGCGAGCAATGGCTGGCATCACCTGGCAGAGCCAGGTCAGCAGGCCGTTGTGACAGCGAGGCCAGAAAGGCCAGGCCCGTAGCTCTCATCTCGCAATGGCGACTTGCAGGGCCTGCACAGGGCCCAGTTGCCAAGTTGCTACTCGTTTTCCAGTTGCACGAGTCCACGAGTCCGTGCAACGGTGTACAGGCGCTTGTTTGGCGCAGATTCCTGAGGGAGGCGAGCAGGTCGAGGTTGAAAGGCCTTGAAGCCAAATATGCCTATGGCCCTGTGGCCTGTGCCTAAGCCTAATGATGCCATACTGGGATGGGATCTGTGTTATCGGCCACACGAACCTGATGCCCCTCCGGTGCTCTGATGAACAGCTGACAGAGCCTTAAGTTTTTGTTTTGAAGGTGTTTCAAGACCGGTCAGTTCCAGGGCCACATAAATCGGTTTAAGACTAGGTGGTCGCAGTCGTCCTTCGTTCTGGTCTGATGCAGTTTTTGCCGCGCAGGTGCCACTGGAACTGCCGAGCATGATTTCTGACCATTGCTCCAAAGCCTGGGATCAGGGTGTTTATATATTGGAATGTCAGGGGCTGCTGAGGTCGGGGAACAGACTCTTGTACAAGTGAAAGAATGCTGAAGTTCTTCTTCCAGGACCGGGTGATACCTGATGCTTTGGAGTTTTTTGGCACAGGCAATCGAGTGACTCCTTTTGCAACCAAACATCGGCGCCCTGTTAAGCTCCGCGCCAGCACGTCCTTGGGGGCTCTTGAAAGAGCAACCAATCCTTGGGTGGACCGTCGATAGACTCATGCGATGCATGTTCGGAAAAAGGATGTGCTACTTCGCAGCTTCACAGGACTGTAGCGGGCAAAAAGTAGGCGGCGTCCCCATCGTAGCTCTTTGATGTTCTGGGCCTGGGCCGGGCCTCCTGCGCCGTCAGACGGCGACGAGGCCGTGGCTTTTGCTTTCTCATTTCTCTGCACCTGTTGGCACTGCCGCGGTTGCAACGAGTCAACGCCAGGCATGAGTTATGGCGACAGGGCTGCCACCTTGAAGTCTTCAGATGGCCGTGCGGGGCTTGCAGCATTGCATTGCTCAGCAAGCGTAGCAGAACATTGCAAGTTGCTGGAGATGAGCATTACCCTGAATATTATTGCGACACCACTGCACATGTTGGCGACGGTAACTTATGCAGTTTCTTCGGAGAGCCACTGCAGCAAACAATGAAAGAGCCGAAGGGGGCTGAAAGAGGGTCCGCGTCTTTACTGCGCGCTTCCAGCTGAGGGACAGAAGCCGAGTTGTTGGCTAGCACCGCTTGGCCCTTGGAACGTTCCCAAAACTGTTGGGGAAGTGCAGCTGCTAAGTCCCAGAGCAGGTTAGATCTTTGGCGGATGCTGATGACACTTCAACACGCCGTCCTGGCTTTGAGTTAAGCGTGCCCATCGAGCACGGCAAGTTACAGAGATTCGTGATGGAGATTCTCAAAGACGCGTCAGACCGTATCAGAGAAGCGGTTTCGTCTCTTTGTGGCAGGTGTCTTATCAACGCTGAATGCCCGCCCCTCAGATATCACTACGTTGTGCACAGGCTCTCCGGATGGATCTTCTTCTCTTCTTCTTACGAGGATCCTCGCGAGCGCAAGAAAGGAAAAGACAACCCGGCCCCGAGGAACCCACAGCCAATCCGCAAGCCAGTCCCGCAGACATTTTGAATACTGTGAAGGCAACCCTGTGGTGCGATGGCTCTCTAAAGCCAAAATTCCTGGCCGTGGCACCCAACAGGCCTTTCAAGGCTCAGAAGTCTTGGGGCAGCTACACCGGCGCCTGCTTCACAGAGGATGTGGCTTCTCCCCCTGCAATGCCTTTCTTTTTTTTTTAGACATAACGACCAGTTTCCGTGCTGGGTCTGACGCTTTTTCTGTTGCTTTGACCTGGGGCGATGGGTCTAGCTCTGGTCGAACCCTGAAAACCAAGCGACATCCCGGGAAAAGCCTGCCATGCGGGCTCGTCCTTGTGAAGTATGAGGCAAAACGATATCAACAAGTTTGCATTTCCTGCAGTCCCATGTCGACCATGTTGCTGGCCCTGCTGCTGCTGCTGCTGCTGCTGCTGCTGCTGCGGCTGCTGCGCAAAGGTTGTTCAATCTTGCCTGGAGCAGTTTGCACTGCACTTGCGTGCAGGCTCAAGTTCAGGTTTTGCTGTGCACAAAGTCTCAGGAACAGACGGAGCAGCTGCACCGGATCAAGGTGGCATCCGTGTGTGCGTGGGCACAACTCGTGCGGGTGACATTCCGACAGGCCGACGCAGATGCAATTAACCACAATTTGGATCAGACGGCGCCTGAAGTTTCGAGTCTCTCCAGGGCACGGAGAGGAAAGGGATCTTTGTTGAGGTCGGAGTGGCTCCTTCGCTCGATGAAGTCCTTCGGCTGGGCTCCGGCACCAAGATTTTGCTGCCTGCAGACCATCACAGACCCCCATGCTAGTTAAACCAGCGCCTACCGATGAAGGACACTTGTATACGGGCAAGCACCGATCGCAGTCGCCCTGAAAGGTCAGAAACATCTTTCGGAAAGAGCCCAAGAACAGCCGTCGGGAGCTCACGTGTGTCCGATTAAATCCCCCAGGCTTTGGTCCTAACCTTCACTGCAATTCGTCACGACATGATCTCGAAAAGAAACGCCATGGATCGCTGCATTTGCCCAGGCCCATCGCCGCCACCCCCAGCTCCTTCCGGCAGAGTTTCTTCGCAGAGCATGATGAGCATTGTTGGTTTTTCTTGCAGCTGGCAAGTAAACCTGCCAGCTGGTGGAGTGCTGAGGCTTCTTTCTCCTCAGCTGCATCGGTGCTTTGCCTACTGCACAGAGGGGAATGTGCTTTTGCTTTTTTCTTTCGATTGGATCACCGATCCCCGTGAGTCAGACCCCCCTCGGTAAGACAGACCTGGCTGCCCAGCCTGTTACCAGTGGATGCGGCCTGGCCGAACTCCTTCGTGGTTTCGCATGTTCGGCTTTCAGGGCGCACTTGAATGCAATTGATGATGCTCTCATCCAAGTGGGCATCGTTTTGGGAAAACGAAAGCTCCCAGTAAAACCTCCTCGTCGCACTGAGCCTGCAATCTGAGCCCTGTTTGCAAGAGGCAGGAGGGTATCCCCAATCTGGGCCGACGCCTAGCGACAGCAGTCGAGGCCAGGAGCCAGTGATTCTGGATCTGAGATTTTCAGCCAGATATTGCAGCGGCTCATCGTGGGTCAAGTTTGTCTTCGCAATGCAGACCTTGTTTTCCCGCACAGGTGCAGCGCGTCTTCTTGCTGAGGATGGGTTTGGGTCAACAGCCGTCACGTGTTCCCTCCGTTTCTCGCCTTTTCAAGGATGCGGCTCGTCGAGTGCGGGACCTCGATACTGCATGCCGGCCAGCAGTGCGTGTCCATCTGGCCAGTTGAGGCTGCCAGGAACTCTACTGCATCAGCCAGCTCGGCCGCAGGTTTGCCAGTATCCGCTCAAGTATAGGACTGCGAGAGACTCCGCAGCCAACGGCGCACAGCATCAGCTCTGCAACTGCGCTGCACCGACATGGATTTGGTGAAGCCGGAGGTGTCTCAACCCAGCTGAGACCAGACCAGAGGAATCAGGAGGTGGCCCGGACCTCGGAAATCTTGTCCAGACCAACACGTCGCGCAGACAATCTGTATAGTTCGTGTGTGGGGGTGATCTTGAAGATGCGCTCAAAGGACAAAGTCTACGATCAGCCCTGCCCCTAGCAGAGGCATGAAGCATCTTGATGATGGGATGCTGTACCAAGCAGCATTGCACGAGTTCCGAGCTTAGCTGCTAAGGATTGACAATATGCTGGAGGGTCTCCTGGTCAAGAGTCCGGGGCCTCGAGCTCTCGAGCAAGCGAAAAAGGCATACACCCTGTTGTGGCTCCGACATGCAACCTGCTGAGGCCAGCAGATCCAGCATACCCTGGGTCACCACAACGAGATGGGGCCCTAAACCACGAGATTCGGTAGGCCTAGGCCCACAACTTTGCTCATGGCATCTCGGCCCCAAGGATGATCCCTGAGATTGCAGAGACAGCCCCGAGCTTACGATGACATTTCTGGATCCACACAGCAGCATGCTGACATGGGGGAGGTCGAGAGAGATCAGACTCGAATAAACAAGCAGCAGCGGCCCGAGATGCAGCTTCTGCTTCGATGTGCATCGTGGGCCGTGCAACCAATCACGTTTTCAAGATCAAAGTCTTGGTCGTGACCTGATACCAAGGAAGGCCGAGATCAAAAAGAGGCAAGGCCACGAACCGCGACATGAAGAGCAACAAAGCGCTAGAGCGAGCTATGTGCTTCGACATCGCAGGATGGGCTGAGCCGAACTGCCTGGTGCATTGGCGAGGGCCATGCACACGAGCGGCACCTCCGGGTCATGCAGTTCCGAAGGTAAGACATTTGGCCACAGAACCAGAGCAAGTCTCTTGAGAATTGGCATGGTTTCCGTTGACGGTGCACGCCGTAGCTCGCACAGCCTGAAGCTGCCTGCGCACGCATCAGCGGTGCAAGCGAAGCGAAGGGATGTCAGCATTCCTTGCGCGCCCGTTTATTTTGCGTTGGATTGGCAAAATCCACTAGTCGGGAATGCATTGGCTGCATAGAGGATTGAGAGGAGAAGTCGGTAGCATAGATACAGGCAAGCCGGCTAGCGGCTAAACACTGATGGGATGCGACTAGCTTGGAAGTTGGAAGGGTCGGCCAAACTACGGCCGCACGCACGTTACACTTGCTACCTCGTGTGACTCGTCGTGTGGATGTTTGCTCTAAACGCTCCCCTTTGTCGCTTGGATGTTTAGTCCTGCAGTCGTCAGCCGATCCTGTTTCACTTCGCCTCTACTCCCAGCCTTAAGAACAGGGCAGGGCAGGAGCAGACGGCGTTAGAAAAGGTGCTGCGTGCAAGGCTCATGCACGTCTGCATACAGCATAAGATCAAGATTGCAAGTCGTCACTCATGTGGCCCTTAGTTGAAGTGCGTTATGGGAGGTCTGGGCAATGATGATAAGTGCCTGCATGATGTAGGACTGTTGCATGAAAGACGTGCTACAACAAGACTGGTCAGCACGGAAAAGTTTTTGTCTGAGCAACACAGGGAAACGCCATGACCAGTCGAAACAAAAACAGAATTTAACATCTCAGAAGGATAGCACTGCACCAGTAGGGTGGGTACAAGAAAATGTCTGGGCCGCGCGATGCTGCGGTGACGGGTCGATGGTTTGTCAAGGCACGCTTTCTTTGCCGTGGTGCTGCATTGTCACCGTCGGTTCGCGCAAGTGCGGTGTGTGCGAAGGAACCGGCAAATCGGAAAGGTAAATGCTTTTGGCCCAAGAATCCCAGACAGTCAGAGTTTGCATAGATCCAGTTTTCTTTTTTGCGGCTAGATTTGCGGCAGGCATTTGCTTCCATGCGGTTGGCAGGGAACTGTGCGTCATGACCGCTTGGCTAGGGCAGCAAGCGCTCCTGCTGTATGTCCTCGCGATCTGGTCCAAGGCTTCGCGCCCGACACGTCAGGAGGATACGCTCTCGTTGGAAGCAACCGAAACAACTACCACAGCAAGTGAACCCGATGCCACCCAGAGCTCGATCGGAACTCTACTTCCGAAGGCTTGCGGAGAAGATGGCATTATCTACTTGGAGGAGGGGATGACCTACCGCACAGAGAAATCAAGTCACAGCATCCCGGAGAGCTGCCATACTCTTCAGGGAGCTCCGTTTTCGCGCATCCTGCTGTATGCAGGCATCAGCTTCTCTAGCAACCGTGCCGTCATCCGTGGGCCCTTGCAGGTAACCATGGCACCGGATGTTGAAATTCTCAGCTCTGCGGCTGTTGAGAGCGCTGGCAGCTTGCAGGCAGTCTCGCCAAAGGATGTTACACTGGAGTTCAAAAACATATCAAGCTCAGGTTGGGGTGCAGCCCTGTTTGCGTCAGGAAACGGTAGTGTCCATCTGGATGGTGAAGGCACTATGATCTTTGAGAACCTGCGAAGCTTGGGATCAGCAGCGGCCAAGTTCATATTGACAGTGGCGGCACGGTGCTTTTCGAGAACTGCACATGCCACAGACGGGGAGCTGCCATCGCAAGTGTCGGCCAGTTAAAGCTGACAGGCGATGCAGCATATGTCTTCGAAGGGTGCACCAGCGGTGCAGCAGGAAAAGCGCCAGGGGGTGGTGCCCTGTCTAGCTTCACGGATGTAGTGCTACAGCTTGGGACAAACGGATCCGCCGTCTTCAAGCAGTGTCGGGCCGAAGGCTCTGGTGGTGCCATCTACAGTGGCCGTGACATGAACCTGACTGGCGGCAGGGTCGCCTTCGAGGGCTGCCGAGCGGGGACCGGTAATGGACATGCAATAGCCACAAGCAATGGCCTTCTCCAGATCGGTGAGCTGACCAAGGTCGCGTTTGAAGGCATGGACAGCTACATCGGCTCGCCGATCTTCGTTCTCGATGCCGCCATCCCAGTTGGTGGGGACGTCCTCCCGAGGGATGTGTTTGAACTGAGGACACTAATGGCAACGAAGCCACCAAGCCAAGGTTACAATAAATGTCCGGCAGGTTCTAAGTTCAAAGTTGACAGACACGGTGCACCCATCCCGGGCACCTGCCACATGTGTGGATCTGGCACTGTGTCACTGGCGACCCCAACTGTGCACGTTCAAGGCGAAATTGCTGCGGAAGACGGCATGCGCATTGTTCTCGTTGGGCGAGGATCTCCCAATGCCATCCAACCCTTCCCGCTGCCCGACAACAAATCAACAGGAGAGGGCTCCGTTTCCTTGCCCCTCGCGCGTGGTGCCTGGAATTCTGACGTGAGCGCTCACGACATGAACATATTGCCTGTGCTGCTGAGGACGCAGAATCAGTCGGCATTCATGTTCGACCGTGGCATGTTCAGGAGTAAAGATGGCTGGAGACTTGCAGTGCTGTATGACATGTACATCCCCGATAATCCGATTGTCTTCCTGAACGGCTTGGACGACATACCCTGGAGCAGAGCCAAAGAGACAGGCATGTTCCAAGTAGACAAGCACGGCCATATCAGCCCGATGCATTCGCCCGATCTTGTCTTCGGTATCGTTCATGAGGTGACCTACACCTTTCAACCCGGAAATCCTTACTGGGCGGCCTGCCTCCCATGCCACGACATTGCCCGCGAGATGGCCGACAAGATCCAGTGCCATGGTGCAACATCGGCCAGCTCTCTTCCAGGCTACATGCTCCTTCATGTCACAGGGAAGCAAAATCTTAACGTCCATCGCTGCCCCAACCCCATGGCCTGTCCTGGTAGCAATCTCAGCCTCACCAGCGAGGGCGAGCTAGCCCCTCGGAGCAGGCTCTGCGCCGAAGGTTATGAGAGGAGCCCTGGCTGCGTCCGCTGTGCACCTGGCTACGGCCGCCCTGTGCTGGACCCCTTCATCTGCCAAAAATGCGGAGGGCGGTCCTTGGTTCAGCAGGTAGGCATGGCTGTCATCTCCAACGGCCTTTTCTACGCCCTTGCTCTTAATCCGGCCAAACCCAGAACCGACACCCAGCAGATCTTCAAGGTATTCCTGGCATTCTTGACGATCTCTTGCCGGAGCCTCTCTGCCTTGCCCAAGACCCAGCACTACCAGAAATTGAAAGACGATATTTACGCCTATGCTCGGGCACTCTATCGCTGCCTCTTTGCAGCAGACGTTGTGATCAGAGCCGAGCCAGGGTCAATGAACTCCGCCTACGACTGCTGGGGCTTGGTAGACGGCCCAGTAAATGTGTACTGGAACAGCTTCCTGTCCTGGTCCATCCCCACAGCATTGTTGTTGTTGTCTTGGTGGTGGCTGGGCAAGCGAGGTTGGCTGAAGGCCCTGGTGGTCTGGGGGAACATGTTCGTCCCACCTCTCATCGGCGCAGCAGCAAGGCTCGTGCCTTGCTACTCCACTCAGGGTGACGGGCCCCGCATCCTCATGTATGAGGCTGCCTTTGGCACCCCTTGCGTCGAAAGTTTGTCGCAGCTCCTGGCGCTGCCACGATTTTGGCTGGCTGCGGTAACGAGCCTTCTTCTAGTTCTCGTGGGACCCGTCCTCTGGCTGGTGCTGGCAGTGAGGGATCCTGGGAAGGAGCTATGGCAGGAGCGGAGGGAGACAGTGGCGTTTTTGGTGGCTGGCTACAGGCCGGCGCTCCCATGGTGGGAGGTCGTGGTCCTTGGGAGAAAGGCAGCCATATTTGCGGTGTCTACTTTGCTTCCCATGTCCTTGGCACCCGCAGCTCACTTGATCTATCTTCTAGGCATCATGATTTTTGCAGAGCTCCTTCACATCACCATCCGCCCTTATGCCAACTCTGATTGGAACCGGCTGGAAGCACAAATGCTAGGAATCTCCTCAGCATGTTTAGTGCTTGTGATTTCTTTGCTAGTCGAATGGCCTTTCATGCCATACAAAATCTATGTGGCTGGCAGCGCCTTCTTCTTCGCGCTCACGAGTGGGGTTTACATCTACCTCCTGGGGCTCTACATACGGAGTGCATTTGCCAAGACACCAGACATGGAGGAAGAGGGCAAAGAAGCAGCTGAGCAGGATTGAGCAGGGGCTAAGAAGCCCCGAAAGTGAGCTGTCAGAAACGGACGGCTGAGTTGGGAAGCCGTGATAAGAAAAAGACAAAAACGTCACAAGGGCGGGTCCTGTCTTGGGGCATGTCCCGTCGCACCGAGAGTCGCTACAGCAACTACGGCCGAGGATACTGACATGTGGTCTCAGCTCGATGGATCCTGTCAGGCTTCACGCTGGGAGGTATCGAGTCGTGCTGCAATATTGGGGTTGAAGTCAGTCGTGTCCCTTTGCAGAACCGTGGGTTGCGTTTAAGTGCGCGAGCTGGCCTCTTTCATGTCATTCGGATCCCATCACGGGCCAGGCGTTTGGCGTGCAAGAGAAGGACTACGAGGCGGTGGCAACCAACGCTGTGTATACCGTGTAGCAGCGATCGACTAACATGAATCTGTTCCAGATGCGGGGTCGAAGCCCCGGGCATTTGCAGTGCAGCACTAGGCGTAGCAGTTGTGGATGTAGCTCGTGTGCACTCTGCTGCTTCTTATCTGCCCTAGCGTTGGGCTAGCAGCGCAGGCATGCGAAGGAACATGGGGAGCACATGGCAGCAAAGATGCCTCCCACGCAAAGTCTTAGACCCATCTGCAGAACTGAAAGAGGAATGGTAAGACAGCTCCAATGCTGTACAGTAGTGTGGATGGCCGCGAGGGTCCTTCTGATGTTGTGCTCTGTGGGGATGCTCGGCATTCATGTGCATATTGTCTGCAGAGCTTCTACCATAGCCTTTTACTGCGGTTTCGCAGTTCTATGCCACTTCAACATTCATGGTATCTTAGCAGGTGGAGCCGGGGAGAGTTGCAAATAAATCTCAAGATATGGACTGGGTGGCGTTGCCACACCCAGTCAGCCACTGTTTGCACTTTGCATGCTGTCTGCGTCTTTTGTTCAATGTCGCGTGCGTGAGCTGACATAGCGTGCTGCTTCAGCTGGCTTTCCACGACTATTCAAAGTGTTGCTTGCTGATGCTTGTCATCTTCTTTCTTTGTAAGCTCGGCAGCGCTGTAGCGCCTATGGGGTTTATTGATATGGCGGCCGAGGAAGAATCGGGAGAATCCAGATCCAGGATAAGTTTCTTGCCGAGAAGCGAGGACCGGAGGCCTGTGCTCCTCTAGGGCCCGACGAGAGGGATCTTGCTTCACTCGTGTTTCAGTTTCAGCTTTTGGCTGCCGGATGCCGCACCAGGCCGTGTGTGTTGGTCGTGCTGGGATGCCTCGTTGGCTCACTGGCTTTCTGGGCAGCCCACGGAGGGGATCCGTTGACTTGGAAACGACCTGGATCCAGGTTGTCGGAGTTGGTTCAAGTCTGGGCGCCAGCAGCAGACGGGAAGAAGTTGGAACCAGAGGTCAGGGATGACGGAATGCTTGGCATCCCTTTCATCGAATCCATGCCGGAGGAGACCTTGCCAGAGTATGGTCACGTAAAGAAGGAGGAAGTTGAGCTGGGCATCTCTCAGCTTGCCGTGGCTCGTGTGGATTGCTGGAATCCCTGTGACCGAAAGGCACGCTTTGCTGCTCTTATGTTCTTAACAGTTTTTGCCAAGCTGCAGCTTGCAACTAGGCGGGGTGGTGCCATTGGTGTGGCCGCGGGCGTGCGTGCTGCCGGCGAGGTGCGGACGATCCCGCAGAGTGTCGTGGCTTCGGTGGCTCCTGGAGGCCTTACATGGGGTGCCGGGATGCCCGAATTGAGCTGAGATTCAGAGCGCCATCGAATGCTGTGATGGCAAGCTGTTGAAAGTGGAAGCCGTTGGTCGTGCCCTCCCCACTTATAGTGATTATAGTGTCACGAAGAGAAAGCCGGAGGCACGAGTGTGTCCGCATCCCATCACCAGCTGGTGGTCAGTGTGGTGGCCTTAGTTGACAACAGCAAGAGGCCTGCTTGCTGCAAGACTTGGGGCCCAAAGCAAGCAAGGGCCGTGTGTGTTTCGGAGGGTGCGCTTCGGTTTGGACAGTTCTCTTTCTGAGGTGGGGGAGACGGATGGCAAGGATCGAGGCACACCACAACATCAACGAGGGAGACGAATCTGTTGTGGGTGAGTACCTTTTTTAGCAACTGGGCTGGAGGGAGGTTCGTGAAGAAAATTTGAGCTCACGTCGCCTCAAAGCCTCGAAGTCGAAGCTGCTGAGTAGCAATAGGTCCTTCAATAGGTTTTCGCAGACTTAGGGCATGAGCCGTCTCCTGACAGGCACTGTGTCCCCGGCTATTCTTGCATTCGGGTGAGTCATCGTTATTCTGAGCATCTTGGCACAGAAGCGAGTCCATGTCGGCACAGAGCTCTCTCCTTGCCGGCAAAGTGCATGTAACTAAGGTGTCGCCTTGCTGAAGCAGTTGGGAAGAATTGCGCTGCTCCATATGGAGCTGCTTGGCGCAGAGAGAGCAAGTTCGCAATTGTTTTTTCAGATTGGGTTGGTTGGAGACTGCTCCAGGTCTGCGGGGGCTGGTATGACAACGCGCCCTGGGAGAACTGCTGCGCTGCTGGGCACCAATGCACGCAGATGAACGTTGGCTTGGGACTGAAGGCGCTGTTCGACAAGCTCACACGGGCTTCCCAAACTCGGTAACCATCCCTGGCCAAGTAAGATCGCCGACACAACTCTGCACCATTTCTACATCTCCAAATCCCGGGTCGGTCAGGGAGTCAGTGAGCTGGGCCGGGCACTTCGGAGTCTTGAACTGGAACTTTCTGGTTTACGCTCGAGAGATATTGAGTTGAACATGTCATAGCGTACAGTATACTGTACATTCGCTTTGGAGTTCACAATGCGTGATGCCCAAAAAGTTCTGAAAGGATGGGTGCTATTTCACCGTGGTTTGTCTGTCGGCAGGGAGCAGGGTGGGCATGCGAAAGCCATGCCATGCCAGAATGGGAGCAACTGCAAGCCTTTCTGAAAGAATCCAAACCGCCGAAGGCATCCAAATGCGTGCCGTCGTCGCTGCTGCATGCCGGGCAATCCTGCCTAGCACATTGCCACCAGGACAATCCTCGACAAGTTGGTTTGCTAATTATGTTGATTGACGCAAGGCCTGCTATTCTGTTCTACCTTGCATGATTCTCGCACCTGTTCTTGTGTTTAGCTGGCGAGGCAGAAGGCGAATGCGCGTGGTGTGGAGCGGGCAATGCATGCTGCTCACGACACAGCCGAGAAGGGCCTTTGGAATGCAAAGATGTCCCGTTCCTCAGTTTGGAAAACTCCCAATGTGTCGCGCCCAAGTATTCTCCAGCAGTCAAGCATTCGGGGCAAGACTGCCTGCCACACTGTAAAGGAGCAGGTATGTGCGACTGGTGTGGTACCGGGAATGCTTGCTGCCAGCAAGGAAGCACTAGCGACCCAAAAGAGTGTCATGGCGTGCAGAGCTTCAGTCGATCTGATTCCCACGTCTGTGTCAAACCAGTGCACAAAGTATCGAGTGATCACTCGCGGCAAGATTGCTGGGAGCCTTGCGCGAAGACTCCGGGATACTGCTCGTGGTGCGGTCAGGGTATGGCTTGCTGCCGGAAAGATGCCGCAAACGACCCGTATGAGTGCCATGGAGTCACATCTTTCAGCCGCCATGATCGCCATGTATGTGTTCAGCCTCTCTCTGCAATGCCTGACAACCTGCTGTCTGCAAGCTCTTCGGTAGACCATGCAGGAAGGGATTGTTGGTACGAATGTGGTGGGTCTGGCTTTTGCAGCTGGTGTGGCGATGGAAATGCCTGTTGCAGATTTGGAGCACACTTTGATGCAGCAGAGTGCAGCGGCGCCACAGATTTCAGCTCAACTGAGCATCATGTCTGTGTGGGTGTGCCCTCCATCATCAACAAGGCCGGATTTACTGGTTTCCTCATTGATTTGTCAAAACAAAGCCCCGCGGTCAGAAATTGCAACGTCAATGGGCATGCACCCTAGGTACAGATCGCTGACCAGCGGCTGGTATTCAACGGTCGTGAGCTTGGTCCCGGTGGGAAAGTTCGAGGCGCTGCAGGGACCGGATCTCACGCTCGAGAGGCGTCGCTGGCCGGTGTTGATGCCATCAGAACTTGGTCTTTACAGCAATCGTTGGGGGCATTGAAAGCCTTTAAGGCTGAGGGCCATGGGCTCAAGGTGGCCGCTGGCATTTACCTGTCCACTTACAAGGACAAGTATGAGGGGGACTTTTGCAGAATGGAGCACCCCTGGTGGCAAGAACAGCTGCGAGAGATCTTGTCCAACGTCACACAGCACCGCAACGATCCAGGGCTTCTGTGGTGGCAGGCCGGGAACGAGCTCGAGCTCCAGACTGACTGGGTCGGCGGTTCCGAGTGCATCTGGCGTCGATTGGAGTGGGTGGTTCGGCATATAAAGGTGGTCGACCCTAACCACCCCGTGGGCACAGCAATTGCTGGGTTCCATGCTGCCGCTTGCAGGCAGTGAATAGTTTTTTTTCGAAGGTTTCATTTATTTATAGTGTAGCTGGCTAGATGTTCAGGGTGTGTATACGGCATGTGAGGTGAAAGTTGGTCGCCTCAATAGCCTGTGCCCATCACTGGATTTCCTTGGTCTGAATGTTTATGGTGGAGACGCCCTCAACGTTCCTAAGAAGCTGCAGAGTGCTGGTTGGACAAGGTGGGGGCTTGAACATCCTGAAAAGACCACTGCACTTTGCATCGTTTGTGTCTGGGACTCGGCAGGCCCTATGCCATCACCGAGTTTGGTGCTGCGGGCGCGTGGATGACGCCCCGAAGCCCGTGGAAGGCTTCAATCGGAGAGCCTTAAGTCATTGAGAGGGATGTTGCTTTCGGCGTGGCTGCGCCTCACCATGTGAAGCAGCCGGTCCCACAATCTTCCAAACGAAGCTCTCATGCAAGCGATATGAGCTACAGAGTCCCGCTCCTCACGCGTACCCTTCCACCAAGCATCCTTGCTACCGTTAACTGCGATTGTTCTAGAAGAAACGATGCTACCGGCGTTATACGCCACGTACCCCTCGGATTCGTGGTCACCGTCATTTTGCGGCTTACC